GATCAAATATCATATTTTATTCAATTAAAGAGAAACAAAATTAAAATAAAGAGTTAAGTTTAATTTTTCAACCTTTACCTGACTGGTTAATCTCTTTTAAAATTAACAGTCCTTCTTGAGTTCATCAAATTAAATTGTTTTCAACTACAACAACAAACACATGGAGCATTAAGTTTACAAAGTTTTAAAAGGAATTGCCTTTCTAGATTTTGATTGTTGGATTTATTGTATTCTAATCCTAAAAACTGTGGGAAATAATACTAATAATATGCAAAGCATATGTAGTTGTCAAACTCAAACTGCTTCTTTTGTCGTCTTTTCCTCTTTAAATCACAATTTCCCTCTGGTTTCATAATACACTTTTCTCGGATAACAGATCAGTGAAATTTTAACATGTAAGAGTAAACCAATAATAAAAATGGGTTATCTACTAGACTAGAGTCCTTTTGTTTTAATCCATAAGCACATCTACAGAAAACTCCTTTGACCTAACTCGAGCTTTTATAATAGAAAAGTTGTTTTAAAAGCTAGGCAAATGGACACTATTACGAGTTTTGTATTTTTCTTAACTTGTGTGAATTTATTAAGCTTTCTTAAAATGATTTCTCTTCACCAAAACAGCTAGGATGATCTGTTTTCTAATTTGTTATACCTAAGAGAAGGTATATATACCTCTTTCAGTAGCCTGAGGTTTTGTCAAATTAATTACGTTTGCTGGAATGGAATTTAGTCTTAGGATGGTTTTTTTTTTCAGCTAAAAGAATATGGGGCAGAAAATAGGCTGATGCGTTTTAAATTCAAGGCCTAGATTATGTGGTGGTCCAAGTTTGCAAAGTCAGACTCACATGCAATAATAAAAACCTGCTAATTTATCATTCATCAATAATGGCCCAACAGAACCAGATCAAGCTTTGGTCCCTTGAATGCTATGATAGTGTTTGGCCAAGTAAGTACTAAGCTAGCATACCAATGCCCATTCTCCAGAATCTAAAGTTGGACAACCATCTCCCTACCTTATCACCAGCTCCTAGCCTTGTATTGAACCATGAAGAACACTTCAAAAAGGCTCTGCAAGCTCCATTAATCTCATTACACAAGATGCATGTGAGCCTATTGTGTCTGTGTACAATGGCATCAGTAGCATAGAAGAAGATAAACAATTATTCATGTTTATTACATCTCAGAATTTGAGTTGCCGTTTGAAAACCAGAGAGAGATTAAAAACTAGACAATTTGGTATATCAAACAAGGGAATGCGGGATTGTGATATGCTTTCACATAATGCACCTGAGACATCCAGCTTGTCATGGCTGGGGCAAATGTGGAGTGAAGCTTAACAAAAAAAATAAAAATAAAAACAAAAAACCTTGGTAGTGTTAACATCTAAACCACATCAGTCCAAGGATATCGATACAGAACCATGGATCATTAAGTGTGCCACCTGACACAGTGATATTGATGCAAACACTGATTATGCTAACAGAGTCTAGATCAAGGATGTTAATTTATAGAGTAAGGTAGAAGACAAGCACAAGCTGTATACCCAATTCTTATTACCCAATATGCATGTTACAAAGTTTAAGTAACCTTATTTGTAAAAGCAGTTTCATCTTGAATAACATCAATTAATCATCAGAAAACTTACAAACAACAGAAGGATTGATAATTATGAGAAAATAAAAGTTAATAGTGATTCGTGCACTCATACCTAAGAGGCATTTGTTGACAGTGGTTTTATCTTCTCCAACAACTTCTCAGCTTCAATAAACCCGCCTAATGGCCCCAAAGATATATATTTTATATGTTTCCATCTGTTCAAACTCTATGGATTAAACCAGGAATTTTTGAAACCTTGTTTGATTTTCAAGATAGAAAGTAAAACAAAATAAAAGCAGAAGCAAAGACTACCAGCAAAATGACTACCTAGGTATGAAGGGTAGAGCAAAACAATGGAGGTGGAGATGGTTAACACTGTTAAATGGAGGTTGATGAAAGCCAAATCTGCCAAAAAGA